AATGCCGAGTCTAGCGGCTGAGCTAGAGGGTATTTATTGTTTTCTCTGCTTAATCAATAAATTGTCAGTTTGCATCCAAGATTAAGCTCTCACAAAAAGACCATTACTTTGTACTATTACCAAACAAGGTAATTGTGGTCATTGCCCTCTCCAACTTGTTCTCGGGATCAATAATCGGTGGTTTCTTGTCCAGCCTCTGCTCTCTCTACTACTACCCTACTCTTCCTCTGGAAATTAACAAACAAAATTAATACGAGAGACTGTATTTATGGGACTGATCTGCCTTCAAATTTAATGGGTTTCTGACACGTGTTTGCCCAATTTCATTTTCACCCATCTTCGTCTTCTTGTGTGTTTGGAACAAAAAAATCATGGGTCATCTGCATCATGATTAGTAGTTAATCCGGATTGGGGTGAAGACATGATTGGGATTGGCTGTTGTGTCTTGTGGTTGATCTGACTCAAATTAGATTATTTAGTTATGACTAGATGTCACGAAGGTCTGATTATTTGTGGATAAACTAACATACATTATGTTAGATAATCACGTAAATTTATGTGTTATTTGGCTGAAGGAAAAAAAAAGACGGTAGAAAATAAGGCAAAATTCATGAACATGATGATGGTGGTAGGGGTGTTCAAATGGTTACCATGGTTATAACCAAACCAAATAAGGCTAAATTCAATTAACCATGGAATACAATATCATAACCAAACCGTCCAAACTAATACAACAACCAAATTAACCAAACTAAAGTTTAATCGGTTTGGTTAATTGGTTAACCAGATTAACCAATATAAAATCACATTATCATTGACGATGAAAATTTTCCGGTTAATGCAACAATTCACAATTTATATAATGAATAAAACATAACAATAAACACGTAATTATAGTTGACCCTTAACAAAAATACATGCAACTAAGACAATTATCTTACGATTAGTATAAAAGTATTCACCTAACAAAAATTTATGACAATGGTATGGGTTAATGAAAATTGTTGTGTTTGTGTAAATTGACTTAGTCTCTTAGCAATTATCATAGGCTGGAAATGACCTTCCTTTCAAGTTTTCATCCATCATAATGTATGAAATTTATCTAAATTAGGCGTCCATATGTTGTGGTCTACATTTTACATATACAAATATACACTATATGAGCAATATTGAGCTTTATATTTTATGAGTCTAAAAGGGATGAACGTTAACTCTTGAGTGGTTATGCAAAGTATTAAGTATGTGTATATAATATATGTTAGATATATGACTAATTACTTAACTGGTTAATTTGGTTTGACTGGTTAGGAGTGTCTGAAACCAAACCAAACCACCTAAACCAAACAAGCTAAAAACTTTAACCAAACCAAACCAATTATCCAAATTAACCAAACCAAATTATCCAAATAGTACTGGTTAAAACGGTTACCATGGTAACCAAACCGTTTGAACACCCCTAGATGGTGGGATTTGAAGGTGGGGGAAAAAGGTGGAGACTCTGCCATTTATGTGTAGAATAGGGACGAAATTAGGGCAAAGTCAAAAACTTGAGGAGGCAAAATAGGGCAACAGCATCATTACCAGAAATAAAAGGTCAGAATGTACACTTGCATTATTTTGTAAAAGAGTTGTTGTGGATCATGGATGGACCACGATGTAGGTGGGTTGCCCTAGCTGCCTAGCATATGTCTAATTTGGTGCTTTTTTGCTTAGTTTTTTTTCTCGTTAGGAGGTGATCTGGTTAAATTGTGTTTTCGTACTTAACTATCGTGCAAGTGACGGTACACAATGCATCATCAAAGCAGAGTAAGGTTAGTGGTGAAATCGATACTTGTTGTGATGATCGATGAGCTGTACATAAAGAACTATCGTAGCTTTTCATAATCTATATTGCGTTTTGATTGAGCAGGAGTACTTGATGATCAACCATCTTGTTGTCTTGGGATGACTAAAGATCATGCGAGCGGGTAATGAAACAATGCCAGACCACACCGTGTATTGCAATTCTCTTAAAACGAGCCTACGTTTTGAGTGGGTAGGTGGCTTATAATCCACCATCTCGATATGCTTATATTACAACTTCTTACTAAATATCAAGATTCAAGAAGCTGGTAGGTGCTAAGCAGGCGTTCGGGCACTGCCTACCTATGGGTTTTTGCAAAACATGACAAGTTTTAGTAGAAATAAGAATCCTATAGCGTGTTTTTACTTTAGTTCAATTTTTAACGTTAATAACTTAATTAACCTTCCATAACAATCAAAAAATGTCACGATAAAGAATTGCAATTTCAAATCGAGAAATGAGTGAATGATGCGTTGATTATAGGGCAGCTGGAGATGGCGTCGCTTTAGAAAGATTAGCTACAATGCCTAAGTGTCGTTTGGACATTATGAATGCCTAATTTTCTTCTTAGGATCTGGGCGAGGCGTTTTTTTCGCTACCGAATGTCTAGACTGGCCTAGACATACATGCTAGGGTAACTAATTGTAAATATAGCTAGTTGCTACAATGTGGAATGTGGGTAGCAATGATGTAGATGGAATATGATGGAAGATGGTGGATGTGGGATTTGGATATTTGAAGATAATCATAGTGGAGGGGAAAGAAAAAGATTTGTCCCTCATTATGGAAAAGTTCGTTAATCATAAGTTTTATGGAGGTTTGGCCGGTTTCGGGTAACAGTGCATTATTTTGGGGTTGGGATTTTGCCTTTTCCCCCCCATTTCCCCCATCCTATAGAGGGTTGTGTTCAAGTAGACCTTAATGCCCACGAAACCAAAAGTTATAGGTAGACACTTAAATGACAATTCCAGCATATACTAGATTTTAGGTTTGTTCTTTTTTAACAATATGCTACCCTCTATTATGGCTTTGGCCTATTGAACTCTTCCCTTTTCCTCTATTTTAACTAGACTGAAAATTGTCATAGGGCATATCTACCTCTCAAATGGGAAATGGAGTGTGTTTATTTATCATCAAATTGCTTCTAGTCTCGCAAAACTTAACACATTAATAGAACCAGTCTCTCTGACTTCGTCGTTGAATTAAAACCTAAGAGTTGAACTTACATCGTCATCAGCTGCTCGAAAAGTCTAACGCCAGCCTTACAACCTAATACTTATGAATCTTGTGGTCGTTGAACAAAATATTACTGTGCTCTTTCAAACATCACAACTCCAAGTCCATTCAAATGACCTAATTGTTGTTCAATAGATTTTCATCCTCTTTCATTCAACCTTTTTTTCCTGTCAAGAAATCGATCGAATAACTTGTTACCTAATAAGTTCATTTATATTTTCAACTCTAGATGTAGAGGGTTGTAGCTTTTGTTACGGTTTTAATGGAGTTTGGCATCCTAGCTACTTTGCAAGGTCCATATCCAACATGCATAATGCATTGCTTTTTTACTCCTACATCAACAATTTGCTATTTCTCCACTATTGTCGGTCATCCTCAACATATTTTTGTCGTGCCCAACCAACTTCTCTCTTTCCAAACAAATTTAACTCGACCTCTCTTACCCATTTTTCGAGTTTCTACTTTTCTCGATAAGACGACTCAGTCAATTCATTCATCCCATACCCTATCATAAAAAGACGACGAGTGATCCATACGAGCACGAGGCAAGTTCCTCATTGACCATGCCACACCACAATTCTACTAGTGTCGGGAGACGAAAAACATCGTTTGTCTGACTCTTCTTATCTCAACCTCTCAGCATCCAATTTGTGTGTTAAAAATATCCACACATACCAACCTTGTCCGAATTTTGCCCTTGGTGGGTCTTTCTCGGTAATCTAGTTGTAGTCTTATTATGCCGCGACACCGATCTCCTTGAAGCCAACCCAGTTAAAAAACCTAGTGATGATATACAACACAACTTGAAACACATCTCCTCTATTTACTCCTAACATTATAGTAATATAATTTGTCCTAGAAGGGAGTAAGACTAACCGTCTAACATAGGATATTTGTTACTTATGGGGGCTGAAGAAGAAGAAGAAGAAGAAGAAGAAGGAAAGGGACAGAATAGACATCCTCCCGGGAATACAGGGGATTCTGTACACCAACTCCCCCTCTCTTCCTGGATTTGCCTCCCCCATTCCCCTCACCCTAAATTGTTGTTTGTTGTATTAGTTTTTGAATTCAAGCATTTCCCTTTTTCTCTTTGTCTCTGTTAAAAAAACAAGTCTTTTCTCTGTTCTCTCTCCTCTCCCTGTATTTTACTCATCTTCCTAATTGGCAAAATGGGTGGCTGCTTGGACGTTATCACACTCTTAATGATGATGTCCTGAACCAAATCATCATCACAGCTGCAAAAAGAAAAAAGTGCCTGTGGTTAGTTTGTCGACTCCTCGTGGGTTTCCTGAGGCAGAGGCCAATAGCCGATTGCGATTTAACTCGGTTAACATACAACTCGATTAGCGGTTTGTAGATTGTAACGATGTCGTTGAGATTTTATGCATACAGGACGACATAATCTAACGATGTACTCGCACTAACGCCGCGGTAGCCTAGTTCATTGTTCGCTATTACTAACACACAGCAAACAAATGTGAAGAAAAAAGTGGGGAAAAGCAGAGCTGAATTGCAGAAGAGTAAATAATAAAGCTTCTGTCGAAAATTGCAAATGGGTGTCACTTTAATAATGAGGAGAGTAAGTAAGTAGCAGTTGTCTGAGATAGTCATTCATTCAATCTTTAAGTGATGACCACCCAACTCCATCAATCTCTTTCTTGCTACTGTGCCTTTGTGCCAGCAGAACATCACCATCTCTCCCTCTCTCTCTCTCTCTCTCTCTCTCTCTGTCACAGAGCCATTGCAGGTTTGCTGCAGCAGCAGCAAGCAGCCACTGCTCTCTCTCTGCTCACTCTGCATTTGCATCTCACTTGTTTTTCATTTTTTTGCCAACATTATAAAATCTAAAACTAAAGGGCAAGAAAAGACAACAAAACCCAAATAGACTTTTTCTTCAGAGAAAGCAAAAGAAGAGAGGGAGAGATATAATAGAGGAATCTACGGTCATTCTCATGTACAAAGTTAATTTGGCCATTAAAATCCCACACAATTAAAACCCTCTCCTCTTTTGCTTCTCCCCCTTCTCTTTCTCTCTGTTTGCAGGGGAGAAAAAGCTATACGATTTGATGTCTCAAGAAAGGGCTTATTAGACAAAAGAAAAGAGAGAGGGAGTGAAGAAGAGGAAAGGGAGAAAGAAAGGAAAAAAAAAAAGAGAGGAAAACAATAAAAAGGTCCTTTCTTTTTGGCACTCTCTCTTCTTCTCACCCTTTCCCTTTTATTAGGCTAATGCCAAGCTTGCTCTGAAGAGATGCAGCCATGACCATCTTTCTCCTTCACTTTCCCTTTGCCGGACTCTGTTTTAACCGTTCCTCTGTTTCTTAAGAGCAGTGGGAGTAAGGGTTTTTTTCCTTCTTCTGAGACAGAGAAGTGTAAAGAGAGTTGCAGAAGAAGAAAGAAAAAAAATGGTGGGTTTGATAGATCTCAACATGACGGAGGAAGAGGAACCGACGCCGTCTTCTCGGTCTTTGTTATCTTCATCTTCTTCGTCCTCTGCCTCCACTTTGAGCGCTTCCAATGCCGCCGCTTCACCCCCTGTTTCGGTTTGCTTGGAGCTATGGCATGCCTGTGCTGGTCCACTGATATCTCTGCCCAAGAAAGGCAGCGTGGTTGTTTACTTGCCGCAGGGACACGTGGAGCAGCTCGCTGATTCTTCGCCGCCGGCGGGGGCGGCCTACGATCGGCTACCTCCTCATGTCTTCTGCCGCGTCGTCGATGTCAAGCTCCATGTAAGAACTGCTCTGCTTCTGAAATTGAAAAAGGAAGGGGGGGAAACAAAAAGGGGGGAAATGAATTCATTTCTGCTCAGATTCTCTCTGTCTCCAGATTTTGGGGCTGCCGTGTTTTGAGTTCTGCTGGGGATTGAGGGTGACCCAAAATGTGGCTCTTTTTTGGGGGATTTCACCATTGGAGCTTTCTGGGAAATCGAAAGGGGGGGAATTTTTCGTGGGTTTGTTTCATAATCCGCAGGGATTATATGCTCCAGTTGGATTTCTTGATTTTTATGCTACTTTATAGTAATGTATAGTTATATGCTAATTTCAAAAAGAAATGATAATAATATGCTGGTCTTTGGCTTTATTAATTAATTTTTTTCCTTGGGAGGAATGTTTTATGGTTGGGGTGGATTATTAGTGGCAAAAGTGTGTCCTTTTGTTTGTTTGTTCTTTTGTTAATCTCCATGAGGACTTGTTTTTTGCTTGGCTTGGCAGGCTGAGACTGCAACCGATGAAGTTTATGCACAGGTTTCTCTTGTTCCTGAGAATGAGGTAGGTGATTCTGGTCAAGTTCCTTCAGAATCCTTAATATGTGTTGATTGAGCTATTGGTATGTATCAATCAATGTAGTTAAAGGGTAAAAGGTCGCTCATTTTCATATTCTGCAACGGTTGGTTTTTCTAAGATTCAGGCTAGGGTTCATGAAATTGTAAAGTTCCTCAGTTGTTCCAAGCTAAGTTCCTTTGAACCCTAAGTGCAGTGGAGGTTGGGCAGATTAAGCTATTGGTATTGATGTATCTAACACGGTGAAGATAGAGATGACTCATTTTCAATTTTTGGGTAGTTGGTTGTTTAAAAGATTCAGGACTAGAAACATATGATAATGTTAACGTGCTGTTACCAGAGTGAGGTTAAGTTGAGGGGAATTGAAGGGGAGGAAGATGGTGAACTTGTTGGCAAGGCTTCAACAACACCCCACATGTTCTGCAAGACCCTCACAGCTTCTGATACCAGCACTCATGGCGGCTTTTCAGTCCCTCGTCGAGCTGCTGAGGACTGCTTCCCTCCATTGGTACTAACACCTATTGCCTTTCTTTCGGCCCAATGCATTTGGATATGAGGATTGCATAAGTTGAACTGAGTGGGGGTAAATGCTGGTTTGTAGGACTACACTCAGCAGAGGCCGTCGCAGGAGTTGGTGGCAAAGGATCTCCATGGCTTCGAGTGGAGATTTCGCCATATCTATCGAGGTACTTGGGAAAAAAATGAGATTTGTAAACTATGAGATTTTTCTTTGATTGAGATAATAATAGCCCCTAATGCTTTTTTTTTTTTATATTTCGTTTTTGGTTTAGGGCAACCAAGGAGGCACTTGCTCACTACTGGCTGGAGCGCGTTTGTGAATAGGAAGAAGCTTGTTTCTGGTGATGCTGTTCTGTTTCTTAGGTGAGAAATTATAGTTTTTATTATTTTAGATGTCTAATTAATAAGCTCTTTCTTTTGGTAGAGTATCATATGATTTAGTTGAGACATTGGTTTTCAGGGGTGAAGATGGTGAACTTAGGCTTGGTGTGAGGAGAGCAGCACAAGTGAAACCATCTTCTGCTGCTATGCCTGTTCTTTGTAGTCAGCTCCCTAATCATAGCAGCCTTTCAGATGTTGCTAATGCTGTTGCTCTAAGGACTGTTTTCAATGTCTGCTACAACCCGAGGTAAACACACTGGACCTGTTCTCGTACGACCTTGGTTTTTGCATGATTGATATTAATCTTTTCGATCTTTTGATTGTAAAGCTTTGTTTTGGAACTTTTTCTTTTTTCTTTTGGTTCTTCTAAAACCCGATGCTGCATTTTTTAGGGTAAGCTCGTCGGAATTTGTGATTCCACTGAACAAGTTCATGAAGAGCCTTGACTACTCCTTTTGTGCTGGAATGAGATTTAAGATGCGATTTGAAACCGAAGATGCAGCTGAAAGAAGGTTTGCCCATAAAGCATGTGACTTGCACATATTTTGACTACAAACTTCCACTATATCCTGTTATTTTGATAAAGTTCCCTTTTTTGCCTTTCAGGTATTCTGGTATGATAACCGGGATCAGTGACCTGGACCCTGCTAGGTGGCCAGGATCAAAATGGAGATGCCTTATGGTAAGGTGGGATGATATGGAGGTGAATCGGCACAGCAGGGTGTCTCCATGGGAGATTGAGGCTTCTGGCTCAATATCCAGCAGTTGCCACAGCTTTCTGGGACCTGTTCTCAAAAGAACCAGGTCAGCATTGCCTTCATCAATGCCAGAATTCCCAGTTCCTGGTAAGTCATGAATGTGATTGAAGTGCCATATGAACCGAAATATTGTATTTTTTTGACAACTTCACTGTTTGTTAAATACTAACTACTGTTTGTAATACCAGATGGAATTGGGGCACCAGACTTTGGGGAATCTTCTTCTAGGTTCCATAAGGTCTTGCAAGGTCAAGAAATTTCGAGCTTCAACACCCGTTTTGATGCAGATCAAATGAGGTGTTTCCGTGGTCCTCCACCCGACATGTCCTACAAGAAAGGCATAGGCTTTGGTGAATCCCTTGGATTCCATAGGGTCTTGCAAGGTCAAGAAATTTTCCCAAGCTCCAGAACTGGTTGGTCTGCTGCCACGATGCGGCCCGCTGCTGCACAACAGCAAGCACCATCATCCTCTCCACCATCTGTGCTAATGTTTCAGCAAGGCAGCAACTCAGCTCTTCAGAATCCTGGTGGAGGAAGGAACAGTAACAGCCAGCCGCATTGGTTCAGCAACAACGGCACTGCCGGAGCTAATGGGATTATGCAGATGGGTATTCATCCTGTGGAACAACCATCATTGCATGAGCCTGTGATTCCATTTATGAGTGTTGGTCAGAATGTGGTGCCGTCTTCATGCAAGAGCAGCTGTAGACTGTTTGGCTTCTCTTTGACTGATGAAAGGCGTGGTGGTGGCGTGAACATGGAGGATAAGAGCAGCAATCATCAAATAGCTTCTCTTCCTGTTGCTAATCTTCTTCCTGAAGCTTCTGCCAGGAAGCAGTTCCATCCCACACCACCTGTGATAGCCAATGCTGTTGGGAGAAACTGTACGAATGTAACGTCTCGAAACCCCAATGTTTGTCATTTACGATCTCGTTTTCTGTCTAGTACGGACTGATGAGCTGGTCTTTGTTGTTGTTTGTTTATGCAGGGGACTCTGCCACAGTACTATCCCGAGAACTACCATATCTATTGACTTGAAGGTGAAAGAATGAATGTGATTGTGAAGAAAATGTCTTTGTTTGTGGGTTTGCTGTATATTGTCGTGAGCAGATTTCAGACTGTTAACTGCTGCTGTTGTTGCAACTTTGCTTGGTAGTTTGCTGTTGGTTGTAGTAGTCTTCGTACCCAGTTGAGAAAAGGCTAACACAATGTCCAATATTTAATGTATTGCTTATGTTTATTGGAGCTGGCTGACTCTTTTCAAATATCGGATTGGAACCTTGCTATATGCTTGATTGTGTTTCTAAGTTAATTTTACAGTTCCTCGATAAAAACCAGTTTTACATGAATAAATTTCAATTCTAGGTTTAAGGGCGGATTCGAATGGATGGTTTGATCACCATCCACCCGTAAATAATCCGAAATGAACCAACAGAGCTTCACAGTAAGCACAAACGTAAATAATCCGAAATGAACGAACAAAACTTCACAGTAAGCCCAAAAAGGATAAATTTCAATTCTAGGTTTAAGGGCGGATTCGAATGGATGGTTTGATCACCATCCACCCGTAAATAATCCGAAATGAACCAACAGAGCTTCACAGTAAGCACAAACGTAAATAATCCGAAATAAACGAACAAAACTTCACAGTAAGCACAAAAAGAATAAATTTCAATTCTAGGTTTAAGGGCGGATTCGAATGGATGGTTTGATCACCAGCCACCCGTAAATAATCCGAAATGAACCAACAAAACTTCACAGTAAGCACAAACGTAAATAATCCGAAATGTTTGATCACCATCCACCCGTAAATAATCCGAAATGAACCAACAAAACTTCACAGTAAGCACACAAGTAAATAATCCGAAATGAACGAACAAAACAGTAAAGCACAAAAAGGCAGGTCCTACCGGGAGTCGAACCCAGGTCGCTGGATTCAAAGTCCAGAGTGCTAACCACTACACCATAGAACCTTGCTCGCTGTTAATTATCCTTCAGGTTACTATACATATAAATCATACGGTAACTTAAAAAGTGAACCGACCAATAATGTGATCAAGCAAACCATTTGAACATGACTTTAATCAATTGAGCTAGCATTTGGAAGATGGAAGAGAAGTAATGTACAAACGCGAGAATCAATCCTTTCACAGCCAAAATAGATTCTAAACAAGGCCCATTATTTTCCATATTGAGAAAACCCCATCATTATGCTTGGCTCAGTGGCTTTTACTGCAACAAAACCACTACATTTAGAAGCGGAGATATATCTAACAAAATGAAACTATAAATCGATCAATTCTACCACAAAAGATATAACCCAAAAGCAAAAAAGGGAATTATATCCTCAAAATCAACTCTAACCATTGCCCTGTTTCAAGAAACTCAGATAGAAATAGAGACAAAAGAGAAAGGAAGAGATCCCTCATTACAAGTCTTCTTTTTCTTCATTGTCCATACTGCAACTGCTGGGGAATGCAGAACAGCTTCTGCAGCAGAGGAAACAATCCCACCAACGCAATCTGCAGCTGTTCCGAGCTGTTCAGCCGCATGCTGATCTGCCCTGCACCTTTATTGTTCAAATTCGCGCGCGCTATCAAGTTCGTCGACCTCCCCACCGGAATCTGCGACTGCAGGTTGCAACCCACTGCAAGATCACCATGCCAGTCCATGACCGAGATCCCCAGCGTCGACAACGAACGCCCCAATGGGTAGTCCTTATCTCTCAACTGCGCCTCCAGACTCCCACCATACGCTACGTCGTTACGTCCAGTCATGGCCCCACCGGACACGACCATCCTGAACCTCTTGTTCACAACCAGCTTGTCCTCGAACTTTGCTCCGGCAGACAATGCGTCCCCCAATAAGGTAACTGACATGCCAGCTGTTGCCTTGTTTTTCTTGAAGCTTCCCAGCATTGTCTCTCCACGGAGCGTGTAGGCCAAGTCTTTTCCGACCGTCTGCATATCGAAACCCATCGAGGTGGCCTTCTTCTTCCCTTTACCGTGCTTTACTGAACTCGCTACCTCCATTTGCACATTGGCATCTTTCTTGTCCTTAGTCACCTGGCCAGAGAAGGACACTGGAATCTTCTCCTTTACTACAAAAAGCCTCTCGGCATTGATCCCATCATAACCGATATCATGATCCCAGCCATGAGAATCGAGAACCGGGCGTATGAACCATCTGTTTGAGTTGTCGAGAGAACGGTATCGGTGTGTAGGGTTATCGGAATCGAAAGAAGCAGGCAGGGCGAAATCTGGGAGAGGGACCGGGACAGAAGTTGCCGGTCCTCCTCCCCCTTCTTCTTCTTCTTCTCCTCCTCCGGCAATACTATCACTGTACTCAGCAGCCATTTGCTTCATCAACTTCCTTCTCCTCTTCTCTTCACTCAACTGCTTCCTCATGAAGAGCTTTTCTCTATATTCCAACTCCTCAAAGTAAGCCTTTTTCTGATCTTTAGTCAGCTTCTTGATCTGAGCTTTCGTCAAGCTTTTGAATGGCGGCAACAGATCGTACTCTGATTCCTCCTCTTCCAGCTCATCTTCATCGGAATCATCATCCTCACCACCGTCGTCCTCCGTCGGAAGCTTCACCTGAGGCCTCGACTGAAGGAGCGACGAGAGCAAGAACGGCAGAGGAGGAGGTCTTGATCGAGCCACATGAGGCTTCCCGGGTGGACTATCTTGCAACTTCAACAGTGCATTTGCCTCGGCAAGAATCTTGGACGCGAAGGAAAGAAGCAACAAGTGAGGTTTCCAAACCTGGCCATTCGGCAACACCCTTTGCCCATTACGGTTCGTCCTGCAAGCCGAATGATTCTCCACCAATGAAACAGGGTTCATCAGTCGCATATCACCTGCAGCCTGACGAATCGCCTGCTGAACAATATGAGACCGCTGAGTAACAAACATATCATAGCTCGAGACAGTACCATTCGGACCCTCAGGTGGAGCAGAAGCCGCATGAGTCAGGACCACAATGGCATTGAACCAAATCGAGGGACCGAATATATCAGTTATGGTTCGTAACAATGGCATGTCTCCAAAATCCCTGCTCTGCATGTCCAAACGGTCGAGATACAACACAATATCTGGAGGCGTGTTCTTAATAAACTTCTTGACTGAATTTAGCATCTTCTCGTTCTGCCGCTGCTCGGACCATGAAGGGAGTAGTCCAGGCGTATCGATGACCTTCACCTTAATCCCCTGAACGGTTCCCACAACAGCTTGAACTTTTTGAGTTCCCGATTGAAAAGCATTTGTATCGAACTTTACCTCGTCGAATATAGAGTTGATCGTGGCACTTTTGCCGACCCCGGATTTTCCGAGAACCATAATGGTGCAAGAGAAGTCTAGTGGTTCCTGACCAACTGCCTCAAGCTGTTCGGCCATGGCGCTGGCACGATCAAAACTGAAAGCACCCACTCGGCCACCATTTCTGCCACGGAGCTGCTCGGCTAATCCGAGTCTGTACAAGACCTGGGCCACGACAACGTTGTGAGGTGTTTGGCCAAGCCTGTGTGCTAGACGGAGAAATTTCACCCTAATCATCTGAAGTTTCTCACGAGTCTCGTCAAACTCTTCTCCTTCGCCATTGCCAGACTCGTCGATCTGTTGGGATTGGGCATTGGAGGTGGTCCCGTTGACACGCTGCTGCTGCACAGGTCGCTGAGCAGGTTCGAGCAAAGGAGCAGCTCGGCCGAGGCCAGCTGGAGGCCCAGGTTTTTGAGAGGTGGATGCGATCTTGGGTGGTGGAAGCTGAACTCCACGAACCCCATTTGAACGATGACCAGTCTCGATCTCTTGCTTCTCTTCTGTTTTATGAGCTTCAACATTTTTTCCTGATCCCTCTGCTATAACTGTTTTTATATCCCCTCCATTAGAAATTTCTTCCACAACTGAAGGCTGAATAATTTCCTTTTGCTTCTCATCTTCGCGCTTCTCTGAAGTTGACGCAATTAAACTGTCAGGTGTAACTGCTGCTGCTTCTTTCACAGCAGCAGTTTCAAGAGGTACAGAAACTGATGGCTGAATAACTTCTTTTTTCTTCTCATCCTCGTGCTTCTCTGAAGAAGTTGGGATTAAGCTGACAGGTGTATCTGCCGCTGCTTCTTTCACCACAGGCGATTCAAGAGGTACAGAAACAGGCGTACCTGCTTCTTCCAGAACCAGTTCTTCCACTGAACTCGGTGTAACGGCTACTTCCGGCACGGGAGTGTCGAAAACAACTGAAATATCTTTCACTTCCTCACAACTTGCTAAGGATTCAGCCGATTTGAGCTCCCCATTGCTGACAATATCTTCTTGATTTTCATCTGTTTTGACCAGGGCCACACTATTAACAGAATCAGTAACTGCAATATCATCATGATTCAGTTCCTCAACTTTGTCATCATCCCTAATTTCAGTATCCAATTTTCTGTCATTCTCATTCACTTCTTTGCCCTCGTCCACTCGAATCAACGATTCAACAACATCAACTACATCCTTGGTTTCCAAGTTTTCAGAAGGCAGGCCAGGGTCCTCATCCACTCGAATCAATGTATCAACAACATCAACTACATCCTTGGTATCCAGGTTTTCAGAAGGCAGGCCAGGGTCCTCTTCATTTTTCTCACTTTCCCCGGGCAGAAGAATCTCATGGCTTAGTATAGTTTCCTCACAAGTAACCAGAACCTTAGCTTCACCATTTGAAACCAAACTCTCTCTATTTTCATAAGTTGCAGACAGGGTGGTGTCTTCACTCGACTCGTTGATATCATGTTCCTTACTAGTCCCTCCCTCGTCAATTTTATCAATGCTCTCACCATCCAACAACACTTCCACCTTATCTTCAACAAACACTGATGGCACATCCTCTGAGTTCACAACCTCTACAGGCTCATCAACTTGATCAATCCTCTCATCACCCAACAAAATTTCCACCTTATCTTCCACTACCACTGACGCCACATCCTCAGAGTTCTCACGCTCTTCAGGAACATTTACTTGCTCAATGCTCTCACCGCTCGAAGAAACTTCCACCTTATCCTCAACTGCCGCCTGAGTCGGAATCTCTAAGTTCACATCCTGTGAAAGAACACCAACTGCCTCCACGAATGTCTCCGCTTCATTTCCAGTTCCCAAATTCTCAACGCCCACCACCGAACTAGCATCATCAACAGCTTCCAACTCGGCCCTTATTCCTTCCTTTGGCAATTCCTCATGTGAATCAACCGCCTCCTCAAACACCTCATCTTCCAAAACCTTCAATTCAGCGGACTCGGCCACAGCAACCTCGCCACCCTTCGCCTTCTCCTCAACCACAGCATCCTTCTCTACTACCTCCATCAATTCATCTGAAGCTGCCACCACAACTCTCTCCTCTACTGCAACCTCCAAAGCCCCATTTCCCGCATTGGGTTTCTCTCCCAGCTCAGGCAAACCAACAACTCTCTCTACCTCATTTTCCATTCCAGCCACAAAAACCCTAGATTGAACCCAAAAAAAAAAAAAAAAAAACACAAAGTCAACAACAATCACCAAAACAAGCAAGAACCCAGGTCACCCAATTCGACCAAGATAAACAAGAAAGTTAAAAACAATAGGATAGAATAAACAGAAGAAGGTTTGTGCCACCCCAATCCCCCACCGAACCGAGATTGAATGAAGGTTAACGAACCAAACGGATCTCACATAGAATACGACACCCTAAAACTCAAGCTCAGATCTCAAAGATCATTCCTTTTAGGGTTTTTGCAAGCAACACAGCAATAGGGAGCAGGACAGGAAATGAATTGATGCGATTATAAATCCCAATGGAAAGTCATGGGGGAAGAAAAGGGCTCACCTGGTTATGTGGGCGCCAAGAGAAAGTAACTGATAAAAGGCAGAGCGAGATGAGATGAGATACACAGAAAAGGGAGAGCTGTGAATATGCGTTAAATTTTCTTTTTAGCTCGATTCTAATATCTACCGGGCAGCGAATTTGCGGGATTTCGCTTTACCAGAGAGCGAGAGAGGGGAGGAGGAGGAGGATGATAAGATATTGGGGACGATTGATCTGACGGCTGACGATGGCTGACTGTTCATCGAAATCAACGCTCCTGAGAGACGCCAAATCACATTTTCTCCTGCTGACGTGGACGTATAAAGTAGTGAGGCAGCAGCCACTGCACTTTGCTGCTAAATTACACATTTGGCTACTCAAATTACATAAATCTTTCACGTTTGCCATCCGAATTACTTTTCTTTTCTTATTCGCCACTAATTTTATGAATCGTTTTCACCGTTAGTCACTGGGCGTTAGTCTCCGTTAGATTCCGTTAACTCCATCAAATTTTTTGATGATGTGGCAAACGGAATTGCTGACTGGACCGTTAACTTAATGCCATATAAAAAAAAAACTATAATAAATTGACTCGCCGTGAGTCAATTTTCGCCCTCCGTTAAAATCAATGTTACCTCTTCAACGGCGTCAAACCTACTTGTAGTCTATGAATTGATGAGTAGTTACAATTTACAAACTCAACCATGCAAAAGTTGTCGTGAATTCATACGTCAAGAAAAACATTAAAAATGACCGAATGAACGCTCTCACAAGTCACACCCTCTCCTGTCCAAGATATACACAATCCTATGCAATTGGAGCGGGGTCTTTGGAATACATTATTAACTTAGGCTTTACTAGACAAAATAACGTGGTTGGGAACTTGTGTTGTTGCTATTGCTGTAAATTGAAGATATCGAGTAGGTAAGCTTCCTTTGTTGGATCTATGCGGGAAGTTTGGTATTGGGATATCGATACCGTATCGATTTCCACCTTATCAAGCAAGGCTATGAATGGTCTGAGTGAGAGGATAAATGGAAATGGGCCTATTAACACAAGGATTGAAGAGGACGCGAGGCCCATTGGACCTGGTCGAAGACCAAACTTCATCTGGACCGATTTTGATTGCTTTTACATGGGGACCAGGTGTCAGAGCCCAACATCAGCGTGGAGTTTGATCCCGTGAAATCTATAAGATATATGAAGCCAAAACAAGGGTTGAGTTTGCAGGGATTCAAAATTCCAGCCCCCAGAGGGTTTGTCGGAAGGGCAATATAGGCAATTCACAATTAAATAAAGCTGTGCGTTTCACCTCCTACACTTTCTGCTGGTGGACCGGGCCAGTTTATTATATAGTCGGACCGGACTCTTGCCCCTTGAAGTAGTCGGCCCAAACTCTTTCCCCCTGAAGTAGCCGGCCCAAACTCTTTCCCCCTGAAGTAGCCGGCCCAAACACCTGCTGGTGAAATGCTTCCCTCGAAATCCCTCGGAACCCATATTCAGCTGCCGTGGCAATCCATGCCGTGTTTACTTCTTTCTCCGTCTCGCTTTCGGTCTCAAGCCCTGCTCTTCAATACCACATATGCAATTGTGAGGGACGCGTGGGTGGAGGGAGCTGCTACTCCTCCAATTGAATTCCCCAACTATTCCCCAGCTGTAAGTGTGAAGGTCGTGTGTCAAGAGGGGAGGGATTGGAGACGCGTGGGAAGAGAGAGCTTCTACTCCTCCAATTCAATTCCCAAGCTATTCCCCAGGTGAAGTGTGAAGGACGCGTGTATAGAGGGTAGCCGCCAGTTGGCTGATTTTGTGGGTGCTCAAATTTTTGCTCAATAAGTGTATACAACCTTTCGTGGTGTACTAATTAAACCTTTATTTTTGATCAATTAGAGCTTGCTGGTTCATGCTTAAGGGTGATTGCAATCAAGATAATGTCCGGAAATCAACAAACTGGTGGAACCTCTTCAGTACAGACCAGTGCTCACAACCGTCGGAATTCAAAGGGCAAATGTAATTTGATTTCTTTGGTTTTTTCCATGTTCCATTGTTACTGTACTTATTCAAAATGGACACAACATATAACCCCTTCCTCAATTCCGTCTTATTTTGCAGGGTTCATGCGAGCTATATTCAACCCGCCAAAACCTCCTTCCAGACAACAAACTGCTGCTGAAAGGGATCGTCTTAATCAACGTAGTCCCGCGACTCATTTTTAGACATGAAATTAAATTTTACTGTGTTACAAAATCAGAATAATTTGATCTGTATATTTCAATTGCAGAAATACTCACCCTTCAAGCACAAGTTCAGCATATTGATCGCTTGATATCTCAATTCTATCGAAAACGACGACGGGAGATTTTGAACACGCGCTTGCGACGTACTGTTCAACATATTCCACATGGTAATCTTAGCATCTTTTAAACGTCGTTATTTATTTTGTAAGGTGTATTATAGACTATTTTGCATACTAATAACATATTCCATATGTGCATTGCGTTATATATGTCACGGAGAAGGATTCCACGTCGTCCTAATAGATTTAGTTCATGAATTATTAACTTTGTTACCACAGATTATAGTTCATGTATCTCCCGCTATCGGACAAAAAGGGCACGTTTAATGCGAACAATTCATTTGTACAAAAGGCGGATGGTTAATGCTGTACCGAGGGGGTTCTCCCGTTCCCATGGTTTGTGGCATCATATTTTATATTTTTACATTGTAAATACTTCTTCATCATGTGTGAGTTATCTTATGTAACTACTTTGATTGTAGGATATCATGTTGTGGAACTTTTTAGTCTGGGTGAGCCTACAAGCATTTGTCAATACTGTGCAACAATTATGTGGGTGCAAGAAAGTACGGTTCCTACTAGGAGTCGTGTCAATCCCGATTTCTCATTGTGTTGCAAAGCTGGAAAGGTAAAACTACCCCCTAGGCGTGCTCCACCAGATTTTTTGAATGAATTGTTACACTCTTCTACACCTATGAGCTGTCATTTCCGGGAAGCCATTCGTAGATACAATGCTGTGTTTTGCTTTATCTCCCTGGGTGGGAAAGTGGATCGTGGTATAAATGATGGTCGAGGGGTGTATGTGTACTCTATAGGTGGACAAATTTATCACTCTATAGGCAGCTTATTACCTGCAGAAGGTCAGCCACCGAGGTTTGCCCAATTATACATTCATGACTCAAGTTCTGAACTACAGAGTCGTTTGCAGCTATTTCCAGTTGATGATCAATCCAGTTCATTGCGACCAGAGATTGTTGAAAGATTGCAAGAAATGTTTGATAGAAACAATGTTCTGGTTCAAACCTTCCGGATGGCTAGGCAAAAGATGCAGGAAGGCAATGTGAAAGAGGTGAAGATCAAATTAATTGCCAAGCGTACTCATGATGGGAGAGAATATGATTTACCGACGGGGAATGACATAGCAGCCTTGATTGTTGATGAAACAGGGCAAGATACATTTGAGCCAGATATTATTGTTCAGTATAAGAGTTCTCAATTGGAGAGAATTAATTATCATCATCCATCATTAATGGCTTTACAATACCCAATTTTATTTCCTTATGGAGAGGATGGATGGCATCCGGACATAAGCTGTGATGATGATGATGATGATAATCTTTGGAATTACAAGACACTGTCCCAGTGTGATTATTATGCATACCGCCTACAGAGTAGATTTCAGGAGTCAAATTCGGTTTTATTATCTGGGAAATTATTTCAGCAGTATGTTGTGAATGCGTACGCATTAGTAGAGGCACAACGGCTTGATTGGATCCAAAATAACTAATCTAAACTTCGTTCCCATTATCTTAGTGGGTTAGTGGATGCATTCCTACGTGGTGACTTTGATTTAGAAATGACTGGCAAACATGTGATTTTGGCTGCTTCCCACACAGGAAGTCCACGGTACAAGTATGAAAACTTCCAGGATGCTATGGCTATTTGTAGGTGGTTGGGATACCCAGATTTATTTATTACATTCACCTGTAATGCAAATTGGCCGGAAATCCAGTTTATGGTTGATTTGGTAACCGCAGATGGTCGGAAAGATGTCAATAGATCTGATATTATTGCTCGGGTCTTCAAGCTTAAACTGCAGCAATTAATGTCTGAGATAAGAGATAAGAAAATATTTGGGACTACCACTGGATGTAAGTCGTAAATGCTCCATAATTGTTATTTTACTTTTTATCAATACTTTTGTTTCATATGATTGAATTATTTTATGCAAGTTGTCATTTACCTAATAAGGTTTTGGAAGGCTCCAACTGCGGCCCCTACCCATTATTTTTTTCCCGTTACATAGTCTGCAGCAATTTCTCATAATCAAGATTTATTTGTTGCCATATCTATTCAGCCATATATTCAGTGCGTGATTTGTCATTCTGATTCCTTGCATAAAGGAGGGAAAATGGGAATTTTATCCAATTTACATTAAATTTTATTCCATAATATGAGTGGTAATCATACCACAAGGAAAGCCATCTGCATATCATGATGAATTGTGAATTCTGCCATGGTATTTGTGGACACTATTGTTTCCACACCAATTGAGAAAATAAATCTGCAGTTCGACATCCATGCATTTTTACCAGAGAAGAACAGGCGGGTATTATATATATGCGTATTGAATGTAGGAATTGGTTATTGGTTTGCATGTGCTTTCCCCATCTCTCCTGTCGGTTCAAGCATCTACGTAGTGTTAATGCAGTAGCTTTGGGATTGGGGTGGGCATCAAATAATTGCTAAATTCATCTAAAATTCCATATCAGCCACGTAGCTTAATTTTTTAATGATATCTAGAAACCCAATCCATTATATTTTTATGGTAATCAGTATGCCTTTTAATGTTGCATTTGAAGTGGGTATATATAAGCATAGCCCTCCAATTCCAGAGTTGGAGCCTTTGAATATGTTAATTATGATTTTGGTTTTCGTATTTTATCTATACTTAATACATATTGTATTTGTTTGCAGTTGTGCTGGCAATTGAGTTTCAAAAGCGTGGCCTTCCCCATGCTCATTTGTTAGTCTTCCTAGCTTCGGAATGTAAACTAACTGGGCCGACGGCCATTGATTCAGTCATATCCGCAGAAATTCCAAACTCTGACCTTGATCCAGAAGGCTATAGAGCTGTAACGGCATTTATGTTGCATGGTCCATGTGGTATTTTGGGCCGTAATGCTCCTTGCACAGAAGGTGGTGTTTGTACTAAACATTTTCCAAAGCCGTTTTGTGAGCAAACAACGATTGATGATAATGG